CAATAGGGAAAAGCAGATGGAATGCTGTTGGGGTGGGGTGTTCTCACCTGGGAAACTTTTAGCAATGACTTGTCTTTCTTGCTGCTGGGTCTACGGCTGTCGATTCTGTACCATATGGTTTGGCTTCTCCTGCAGGGACCCTGCTTTAAGGGTTTTCTGTGGGAACGTGTGAATGGGGAGAAGGTGGGCGGTACCAAGAGCCCTGTAGAATCCTAGTTGAGCCAAAGCACACTTGGAAGGGGAAGGGAGTGCTTGGGGGGAGGGGCTGCTCTACCTTCTGGGAGTTGAAGGGTTAATCTCCATAGCTCATTGGCAGCTCTGCCTCTGTCTAGGGCATGCTGGGATTTCCTCCCAGCTGTTTTACATCATGAAGATTTGTATGTTGGGGAAATTCCAGGGCACAGCTGCAATTAATCTGCTGCACAGTCTTGGAGCTGAGCAGGGATTCTGTAGGGTTGATCCTCCGCCTCCCTGCAGGAAAGGCGCTCTGACTCTCCAGTGAGAGCACCCTTCAGGGGAACCTTCTCGATACCCAAGTCAATGGAAACAGCCTGAATAGCCAAGGGATCTCCCCAGGGAATGCACTGGAGAGGGGCCCAGGAAGTCAAAAGGAACCCAGAACATTAGGAAAACGAGGAGCAGCCCCCTTAGAAACAAGTCAAAATAACACTGATAGCCACACTTGATAACACACGCAGAAAAGAAAACTGGTTCACTCCTACTTAGGAATGTAGGAGCAAAACACCTCAAAACACTGGTGATTAGCATTCCACAGTGTAGTACAGGAATGAACAAGCCACCAAAGGCCAAACAGGGTTTGCCTGGGGACGCAGTTGAAGAAAATCAGTCGCTATATATACATCTCACAAATGCGGCAAGTCAGAGACAAGCAAACTGTGTTGGTAGCACCAGAGAGGATTCCACTCCTGCTGTGGTGTGAACGTCTTACATGGAGATGAAACCAACCTTCCTTAAGAAGGGAAAGACTGTCCTCCCTGGTGGTACAACAGGTTAAAGCACAGCACTATGAAGCTATTGGCTGCCACTGCAGCACGAGTTCGATCCCCAGCCATGGAGCTGACCCACATGGAGCAGCAGATCTCTCCTGTCTCACTGGCTGCTCCCCTCAGAGTGTATTTCAGTAGATCCAGCTGCTCTGCTCCCCACTCTGTCTCTGATGAGTCCTCTCACCATCACCCCTAACTCTGGCCTACACATCAGTTCTATGCACAAATAAATAAATACTTATTAAAAAAAAAAATAAAGAGGTTCTCAAAAGCAGCCTCACCCTCACCTGCAAACCATAACAGCAGGGCTTCCTCAAATGTGTTCCATGGAACCCCAGGCCCCCCAAAAGTATTTCCAAGAGTATGCCTGTCTATCCTGTCTCAGAGTCACAACACAGTGGGATTTTACGTGGTGCTTATTAATCAGGGATGATGGTTCTCATCATTTGGGACTGTTTTTCTATTCTGTTTTGAGTGGCAGAAAGAACAGTTTTCCCATAGATGGCATCACATAAGTGGGTTCCACCGCTATGGCTGTCCATCCTTTGCACTGACACCCCCACCCCAATCCCATGCTTTCCATTCTGATGCACATCCCCCGGGAGGAGGTGGCCGGGCCTCAGCTGTGCCATCATCACTGGTCAGGAGCCTGTGGTAGCCAATTGGATAGAGCCCATGTTGAGCTTGGAGGAACCAGCAGCTTTAATCTGTCGCGTGCCACAACCGTGCAAAGAATCCAGGCCCAGCCACACATGTCCCTCCCAAGGACACACTCCCACCACTGAGTGATTAGCCATGGGTGATGGCGGAATGGCCTCACATGAGAGTGACCGCCAAGAAGCGCTTTATTTCCTCTCAGCACTGGCTGGCCCTGACCCAGGAGTTCAGAATTGTCTAACCACCTGCAGATTCCTGGTGCTGAGGTAAGGGAGGGTTTCAAGCACTGGCTGGCTTCTTTCCTCTCATTCACAGTTCTGGGAAGCTGGACTGTGCCTTTAAAATGCTCCTTTCCTTGACACTGTAACTAGAGGCATTTCACGGCGAAGCTGGTCAGGACTCCAGGGTTCTTCCCTCACCTCTACCCTCTCACTTGTTTCAAAATCTTAAAAAGACATAAAGCGGGAAGGGACAGACTTCTGCTTCCTAGCCTTCCAGGATGAATTCCTTTTTGTACCCCCATGAGGCTGGAGCAGGATGCACACTATTCCAGAACCATCTCTCCCCACCTGCTTGGCAGATTGACAAGGGGCCGGACTGCATTGGTGAACAGGGCTGAAGATTTTCATCCACCCTCCCAGTTTCTAGATCTAAGTTAAAGCCAGTGAGTGAGAGTGGACACTAAGGGGAGAAGTGGTCAGTCTGGTCTCCTCGTTGTAGCCACCTAGACCCCTTCCTCAGAGAGTAGAACTCTAAGCACCTGATAGACACACCAAAATGATAGCTGTTATTAAAAGCCCTCCCTTCCTACTCTGAGAGAGAGAGAGAGTGTGTGTGTGTGTGTTCGTGTGTGTGTGTGTGTGTGTTCGTTCCTGATAGCCCCAGTGCAAGGCAGACAGAGCCTCCTGCAGCCCCAGACTGTATTGAGTCACAGCTCCTCAGCCACTAGAGTCGTGGGTCTCACTGGGAAGTGCCTTTGTCCCTCTGGAAGACACTGAGCAAAATCTGAAGATGCTTTTGGTGATCACCAATGAGTGGGAGAGACGGGCTGTGGCCAAGAGTGCTGCCAGCTAATCTCACGCACTGGCCCGCCCAGGAACAAAGCCTGCTCAGGCCTGGCCTGCCGCCGCGTGAGGTTGACAACCATTACTGGAATCCTGCAAGCCAACTCTGCCAAACAACCCTCAGATTCAGCACAGTCCCAGACTAGGACTCAGCTCAGTTCCACAGGGTCCCCCTCCAACCCCTGAGGTCTCAGAGCACCCCTCGGGATCTGACAAGAATGAAGAGCATTCAGCATGAGTGTCATGACTAAATAGGGAGTCAGTGGATGGTAGCGTTGATGGATTTAGGAAACCTTCTATTGGCTCAATATTAGGGAGGTGAATTGGGACACTTCTTGGCACCTGATATTTGAGATTGTATTTCAGTTTTTTAAAAAACACACCAAGGTTCAGATGGTTGCTTCTAGAGAAATGCAAGTGATGTTCAGCCTGTGACTGTCAGCGCTGGTCACCTCATGTCCACCTCCAGCAGCACCTGGTGCATGTAGTCAGCCTCTGGGTGACCACACTGTGCTGGACAGAAAAGGAGGGAGACAACCCATCAGAGCGAAGAAGAGGCTGGACCAGAGAAGCATGTTCCAGAGAGAGTGCGTGAAGAGCCTCGGCTCATCCTAAAATGAAAGTGCCGGGCTTGGATCAAGGGTCCGGGGCACCAGCTCCAGCTCTCAGCAGAAAGCTGAGCAAGTCAATAGTCTGCTTCTGCCTCCCTTAGCTCATCTGATAACTGGGGACAGTCACCCCTATGCATAATAGCAGGTGTTTGCAAGGTAGTTACGTGTGCGGAAATGACGTGGAGCTACGAGTGTTATTCACAGATGAAGTGATTTCTAATGACACTAATATTTGTCCAGTGCTTTTAAACTTGCCAAAAGCATTTCAATCCCATTTCATTTGGGAAATGTGGGGGCTCTGGGCGGGGAAAGAGATGGTGCAGGTGGGAAAGAAGGGAGGAAGAAAATAAGATCAGCAGAGGTCAGGGACACAGGGGAGAGTCCATCGGAGGGGCGGGGTGCGGGGCACCAGCCGGCCCAGAGTGGAAAGACTGTTCCATTCACGGGGCTCTCAGAACCCCTTTCTTCCCACCTGGCCCAGCCCTGCTTGGCCTGTCCCACCCACTGGCCGCCACGTGCTTGGTGGGTGTGTCTGTGGGTGATTCTGCTGCCACGGACACCTTTTTGTAAGCTCAACCCCTGTCCATTTGGCCTGTTTTTGTGGTTGATCAGTGCACATAAGTGGACACTGAATCATGACTTCTCTCTTCCCCTCCCGATATTGAATGAGGGAAGGATGATTCAAAAGCTTCTATCTATGAGCTTTTCCTGGGGCCACCACATCCTATTAGAAACTTTATTTTCAAAGTAGCCTCAAGAATCCTGCCCAGCGGCTGCAGCTGGTCTGCTGCCCAGCAGCCATATCAGTGTTGACACTAAGCCTACATGTGTGCCTTTGCTCCTGGCAAAGACTGATGGTTTGCTTATGAAAATAATAGCTGCCATTTGTCAGATGTCTCCCACATGTAAAGCACTGGGTTCAACATTTGACACTGTCCCTAATCTTTCTAACAACCTGTAAAATCAGTGATAATAGCCTTGCCTTACAGGCGAAGAGCAGCCGGAGTTGTTAAGACACTTGTCCAGGGTCACACAGCAGAGCGAGAATCAGAACCCATGCGTGCTTGGCTCCAGAGCTGGCGTTAAGGAGCTGCTTTTTATTTAAGGAGGTGTGGGTTTACCATTTGGTTTGGATTTATTGTAATAAGCATGGGAGAAGGTAGGGCACTAGATTATCTTTACAGTTGAGAAACAGGCGTTTATTGTTCAGCTTCCTTGAATAGGGCTCCTGCGAGTATCAGGCAGACGGTTTTGTCTTGTCTCCAGATACTTCCAGAGCGGTGCTTCTTTAGGGAGCGTTGTGGATGGTGCTGAGCCATGGCGAGGAATGGGGCAGGGTTGCCCCTAGGACATTGGTCCCTGCTTGTCCTGTGGCTTCAGCAGAGGCCTTGATCCTCACTGATACGTTCTTTGAACATTTTGCTCGGAGTTGTGGTCATGTGTCCTCTCCCCTCCACCTCAAGTGACAGAGGGGGCTCCTGGTGGAGACGGTGATGAGCAGTGAGTGTTCTACTTTGTGATTATCAGCTGGGCGTTGACGCAGTTACGAGCGTGTGCGGTTAATGAACCCCCAACAACCCGACCCCAGAGCTCTTCCCACTCCTTCCAGGCACTCTGGAGGCTTCCTCTTACCAGCTCTGTGTCTTCTGTCCCCTGTGCAGTACCTGCAGATGAAATGGCCTCTCCTGGATGTCCCCTCCAGCGCCACAGTCAAGGACACCAGGTCACCATCCCCAGCACACTTGGTAAGTCTGTTTCTCCTGAAAGGCTAAAGAGACACTCACCTTGTTCCATGTCACCCACCGCCTTCTTTCCACCTTCCAGAAGCTGATGGGGTCTGGTGGCGGTGCCTCTGCATGTGAGCACAGCCAGGAGGAGCCGAGCTGAGCGCGGCTCACTTGGTGACCATCAGCAACGGGGTTTTTTTTTTTTTAAAGATTTATTTATTTATGCAGACTGAACTGGAGTACAGGCCAGAGATGCGGAGGGTGAGAGGATTCACCAGGGACAGAGCGGGGAGCAGAACAGGCAGATCGACGAAGAACACTGCTGAGGGGAGCAGTGGGCGGGTCAGGAGAGGTCTGCCGGGCCTTGTGGTCACCTCCGGGGCAGGCGGGATCGAACTCATGCAGAAGTGGCTTAAGCTTCTTAGTGCTGTGCTTTAACCCGCTGCCCCACCAGGGAGGGCCGGCGGCTGGTTCTTGACTAGCATGTCGGTTGTTGCCCATGTGCTTCCCTACGCCTTACACCAGCACCCAGGATGCTATGTGACTGGAAATGCCAGCCCACCCAGTGGGCAGTGCTGGCCCTTCCTGCTGCTGTGGAACCCCTCTGCCCCAGCCCCCGGGCGGCGTGTTCTCCCTTCTCTCCTGTCAGGGCTTGTTCAGTATTGCCTCCTCTCTCCCTCAGAGCATCAAGACAGCAGTTGAGAAGGCTCTTCTGTACAGGATGTTCTAGGAAAGAATTAATTAAAACTGCAGGGCAGCAGCCCAAGACAAGCCCTGTGGGCACATGAGCTGCAAGGAAGGTCTGATCCCCGGGCAGGCAAGGCACTGGGTCCTCACCTGCCCCGGGCGTGCAACAGGCTGAGGTGCAGACAGGTGAGAGACACTCCAGGAACCTTGCAACCTCCTGAGCCTGGGACAACCCTTTGCCTGAAAAACCACACTCCCCACAAGCTAACTGGTGTTCTCAGATTCATGGGAGATGAGTGAGTCTCAGGTGCATGGAGGGTGCAGCTAGAAAGCATCCCAGCTGGCACAGCCTGTCCATGTTATGAACAGGGAGACCAGGGAATAGTTGATGGTTTTGAAACTTTCCTATGAAAAATTTCAAAGATTTCCTTCATCCACAGTCCCCCCCGCCCACCACACTGGGTTATTTTAAAGCAAAACCCAGACATACATTTCATCTCCTTCAGGACATTTTAGATGTCCTGGTAGTGATTTTTCACCAGAAAATGAAGCGTCTCATTGAGTAGATATACATGGAAAGAAGTAATGGGCCCACGGCTGTCAGTACCTGTGAGAGTGACATGCAGTGGCAGAGCGCTGGGTGGCTTCCAAAGCGACGTCAAGTGTGGCTGTCAGATGGTTGTCATGGCACCTCTGGGGACCAGAATGTTTGACAGACCCATGAGGGTGTAGGGAAAAGTGAGCCTCAGGACCAGTCACCCAAGTGGGCTGCCCCTGAGAGGTTCTGTAGCTGGTCCCCAAGGCCTGAACACCCTTTTGCAAAACATCCCGGCAGAGGGCAGAGCTGGTGGCTCTAACTCTCCAGGCTCCTGTTCCAGAGGCCAAGTGTGGGGTGTCGGCGCCCTCTAGTGGTTGAGGCACCCTGAATCCACCGCCACAAACCTGCTTGTCCCCTCCAGCATAGCTGTCTCTCTCTTAACTGTTTCAGATCTTTGCTTGCCACCCAGTGCCCACCCCACCCGCCCATCCTGTGGCCTCCCACAGTCCTCCCAGCAGAGCCGAAATGACAGGGCATTTTCTCCTTCCTCCATACAGCCTCTCTTTGCATGTTATCTATAATCTCCATCTCCTTTCAGAGGAAATGAGTTCCCTTTAAAAACTAGCACATGCACTCTTTGGATTTCCCATCCTTCCTGTTGCACAGGGCAATCCATCTCTGAAAAACAAAATAAAGGGCCCGTGTCCGCCCTCCTCCTGTGAGCATCATCCTGTTTCCCTTCTGGCCTCCACTGCTGATCTCACACGGCACAAGGCCTCCCATCTCCATCTTCTGGCTCAGTTCTCCAGTTGCACCTAAAACCCAAGTCCAATCACCTCCGCTCAACACTGGTGACATCCGACACTATTTATTTATAACCCTCTGCTTCCTGTATCCTCCTTCCACTGGCTCCTGGGACAGGAATATACAATGTCCATTCTCCCTCCTCTCTAAGCTTCCATTTTCTCTCCAGATTCTTCAGTAAGTCAGCTATTCACCCTCACCTGTTATCTCAGCTTAAGTCAAATAAAAATACATGAGGTCCCTAAAGCCTTCAACAAAGTTCTGCAACAGAGCTCCAGCTGCCTGGTGGGGCCTCTGCAGATGTGTGCTGGGCAGCTGTGGACTCAGCCTGGTGCAAGCAGGGCCTCACTTTGCCTGAGAGTGGAGAACCTGGAACAACTGATGCTTGTTGATTTAAAAAACTGCTAGTTCTCTAATAAGTTGTATGCATACTACTGCCTTTTTAAAAAGATATATGTATGCATGCATATTATTCAGACCAGTGGTGTGGGGGCTGAGAGGATTCACCGGAGTGGGGAGCAGAATAGGCAGAACTATTGAATACACTGCTGAGGGGAGCAGCAGGCGGGACAGGAGAGGTCTGCTGTGCCAAGAGGGTCAGCTCCCTGGGCAGGGATCGAACTCATGCTGCAGTGGCTACGGAGAGCTTCACAGTGCTGAGGCTGAACCCCTTGTGCTAGCAGGGAGGGCCCTACTGCCTTTTAATACAGAGAAGCAAAAAGGAGGCCTCAAAGGCTTACAGGACATTTATGGTAGAAAAACTTAACATTAACCTGAAAATCCTATAGTGGAGAAAAAAGCACCATTTAAAAATTTCAAGTCACCTGTCTCATTCCAACTTCTGAGATCCCTGAGTATAGAAACAAAACCTGCGATGCCTGGGGCGGGGGTGGGGGAGTGGGGGTGGTGTCAGAGGCCCTGCTGTGCTGGGAGGGGATAATGCTCCTCTTTCTATTCGTGCAGCTTCAGACAAATGGCCTCATCTTCCTTTGTCTCGATTTCCTCCTCTGTAAATTGGGAATGAGGAGAGAACTTGACCTCAATAGAGTTGTGCAAATAAATGAGCCAGTGCATTGACGAGTGCGTGCTTCCTTCCCACTGCCACCACACTGTCATTAACAGGGAGAGAACAGCTGAAACGCTGTTCATTAGAGGTGATGGGGTTTGGAATCAGATGCCAGTGCGAACGGACAGGTTGTGAAGGTAACAGAGGTAAGAGATACACTCAGTGTCTAATTCTCCCAAGGTCAGGTTTAACTGGCCTAGGGGATGGCTGGTCTCAGTTTTTGAAGCTCCCCAGGAAATCCCCAGGGCAGCCAGAATTGAGATGCTTTGCCCTAGTGGCAAGCCCGAGGCAAAGGGACAGGAGATGTTGGAGGACCTTTCAGTTTACTGGGTGCCACTTTTTCTAGGATGGAGGTGTGAGGAACAGGACTCGAAGCTGCCAGAACCAGTCACGGAGGTGTGGCCACCAGATTTTTTATTTAAAAAATGAAAATATTCATTATGACATTTATTGTAATAATTGTAATCAAATATTTTCAGATGAGGTTTTCCCTGGAAGAAGGGCAAGTGAAGGAAACAGCCTGCATCCTTGCAGACATTTCATGAGTCATGTTGAAGTTCATGTCAAGGAAGTGTATATAAACAAACCAGGGCGGGGATGGCATTAGTGTTATTACTTGGATTTCATGCCCAGCACTGCAAAACAAGTATATTCACATCCAGAATATGACCAAAGGCGGGCAGGAGTCAACATCTGTCTTGTTCACGTTTGTTCCCCCAGCACCTGTCAATGCCTGGCAGAGTGGATACTCAGGACATTTGTTGAATGAAGGGAAGATAAATGGTCTTGGGAAAGGTTGATGCCCTTTCTAAGTTCCTCTGTTCCCTTGGGTCTGATCCCTACACTCATTCAGGATTTCTTTTCATAAACTCTTTTAAAAGCCCTTAAAAGTAATGCGTGTTTGTATTGAGCACTTGGGGTAATACCAAGGCACACAGAAAAAGACCTATAATCCCACGACCCACAAGCATTTTATATTGCATTCTCCTCTTTTTTCTGCATGTGTGTTTGCATAAGCATCTGTAACTTACTTTCTAGATGATGACCAAAAAGCGGCCTTCAGTAACAAACAGCCAGCTGGCGGTTGTCATGTTTAGCGCTTGGCCTCGCTGGGTGGTGCATTGCAGAGTTCCGTGGCCCGTGACTGTTCCCAGCGCCCATGCCCACAAGCCTCTGTTTGAGGGGTGGCTGTCTTGCTGCTTGACTTTGAGCTGAAAAGTCAGACTTGGCTAGCATGCCAGTTCGCAAGTAGCAGACGAACTGGAGTTGCCTTTTTAAAAATGTACATCGTTTCTCCGGTTTTCTAATGGTATGCCGGGAGACCCAGAAAACTCCAAAACACATCATTGTTTCTCTGTTCTCCAGTATTGATTTCAAGTCTTATGACACAGTATTCACTTTTGTACTAAAATTATATTTAGGTATAATTTTAATCTTTATGGAAAATGATGAAAAATACTAGGAACTCCCATAAACTCTCTATTCAAATTAAAAAAAAAATTGTCCCCTGCTGTGCTTCTCTCTGTCTCTCTCGTTCTGTCTCTGTCTCTGTCTCTGTCTCTCTGCTTCTCTCTCTGTCTCCTCTCTGTCTCTGTCTCTATCTCTCAGCCTCTCTCTGTCTCCCTCTGTCTCTGTCTCTGTCTCCGTCTCCCTCTGTCTCCTCTCTCTCTCTCACTCACACACACACACACACACACACACACACACA